CCAACCCTCTGCATGTCGTACAGCCTGTTGAAACTGTAGAAAACAAACGATACACTCTCAAGTTTCTGTGACCCCCCCTGACGACCCCCTGCAGGGATAGGACCCCCATTTTGAAACCAATGATTATCTTATTCAACTAAAGGATGCTGAGCTAGTTTGTCGCGGAGTTTGAAGGGTTTTGAAGTTGGTTTCAACAAAGATGGAGGCGTATTTATTTAATTAGAATTGAAAGATAATCAAATTTCAGTCTCTAAAGGGGCTGCAAGACTTTTCGTTCAAGTTGCATCGTTCCAAAAATCTGTTTCTGGTTCGGCAGTTCACAAATGTTTGAGAGTTTCACTTAAAGGCAGGTTTTAAGAAAAATAATTATTGAAAAACTATCATTTTGAAACTAGCATTCCTTCAGTGCGCCGTCTACACCCTCCCCTCTGTACTCCCTAAAAAGCAACGCCCCCTCACTTACATGCACCATGAGCGCAGACAGGTCAGACAGTTGAATAGATTTTTCCTTTGTGGTGAAAATAGAGCGGAAGAGTTTAAAATCCTCGCTAGTCATTGTGGAGAAAGTTGGGGCAGAGAGGGCAGCGCATGGCGGCTCCTGGTTCTTCTGAGGTGTTAGCATATTAGAAGTAACTTAACCAAGAAGACTCGGTATGAGGTCACAGTGATGACAATCAGGAAGGGGTTAATGCGACTGGTTTATTGGTGTTTATGTGTCAAATCTGTTTGCAGCTGCACAGTTTGAATGTAACACCGTGCACTATTGACCCAGACTCGACACTCTCATCCGCCCCCCCTGCAGGTCACAGTCAGTATGTAGGTTAATCGATATCAGTGATCGGAGCGGTCCACACACAATCCAGAGGAGATAGACTCACTTATTTGATCCATACTGACTTCTATCACGGAGCAATAAATAAATCAGTCAGACCCGGAGGGCGCTGATTCTCAGGGTTCGTTTCTGCAGCAACAATTAAAGGAAGAATGTTGAGTTTTTGATCCAGAATATGACCACCAGCATGAAACAAAAAACAAACCGCTGGTTGTTGACACCTCCTCCACATTGAATCCTACAGAGACGCACAGCTTTTATACACAAGGGGAGGAGCCGGCTGTCCCGTCCATGTAAACACAGCTCACAACAACACAGCCAGCGGGACTCGAGCTTCTCCCTCATTGTAGACAGTCAGGACTCAGAGACACATTTACACAGACTTGATTTCTGATATATTTATGTGGAACATGTCGCTCATTCTTCCTTTAATATCTGCAGCTCCTCCCTGATGACTGAATGAACACAGCACTCAAGCGGCTTCACGACTGTTATCGCGCCACTTTAGCAGGACAGAAAACACGATCCGTAAACACATTCATGTACGTGTCACACGTTAACGCTCTTCATTTGTTTACATGTAAATGTCCCCACAAGACTAGCAAAGCGACGCTGGCTGCTGCTGCCGACCTTTCTCTCCTCTCATTAGTCAAATTGTTTGCTTCGGGGTCATGTTTGGGATTAATGTTTCAGTTTATAATCAGAGTCCTTCATTAGAGAGAAAACACAGAAAATGGGTCAGCGGTGGGTGTTGGGAAGTTAAAAGGATCTGTGCGAATTGTGCGCCGCGCCGCCCGAGTGCCGTTTTTATTTGTCATGGAAATACTGAGTGGGTGCTGGATGAGGGGGAGCAGGTGTGTGTGTGTGTGTGTGTGTGTGTGTGTGTGTGTGTGTGTGTGTGTGTGTGTGTGTGTGTGGGTGAAGTACCTCGCTGTGCTCTGTGTGTCTGTCAGAGAGACTGACACTAAAATCATATCGCACCATAACGACATAAACAAAGCTCTCTTTTCACACAGCGCTTTTATTCTCTCACCTACACAATATTTATATTTAAATATGTCCTTTATTTATCCCTGCACAGATCCAATAATGTTATATAACACTCAGGGCGGGGTGCAGTGGAGTAACGCTGACGTCATGATAGAAGTGTTTCTATCGGGACTAGAATCCAGAGAAGTTCACACGTCCCTCGCGTGTTCGGTGAGAAAAGGCTTCAAAAATGTCTAAAACAGAAGAAAATGTTAGTAAGTGTGAACGTTTTCTTTAAGTCTTAAGATTGAAAATCATGATGTTTGCAGAAAACCCCCAAACTGTGAGTGTTTTCAGTCAAAATGTGAGAAGGAGGAGGAGGAGGAGGAGGAGGAGGAGGAGGAGGTGTGACGTTGTTGTTGAGGAGGCAGAAAAAGAGCCAGAAGGTTAAGAGGAGGAGGTCTGGTTTTTGGATTTGCTCTCGACATTGACGTCGTTTTCTTTCAACGACAGCCTCCCCCACATCAAACAGAAATTATCTCTGTTACTTTCTTACATTTTAAAAAGACAGAATGAGTAAAAAAATAAAATAGAAGTCACACTCTATTGCTGCAAAGAAAGTATAAACAGAATCACTTTGACTTTATTTTGCAAAGACCTGTGCAGACACACAAGTGTTCAAACGTGGATTTCTGCACACATGAGCATGCACATAAATAATGCACAGTTACATTACGCAGCATAAATGAATAACACGGACAGAGTAAGCAGCTAACACCGTTTAACAGTTTGCTCCCAGAGAGAAAAATGTGCCAAAGCCTCTGAAAGAAAGAGTGCTGAAGCTTCAAAAACCTCCTGAATATGTCTCGTTAATAATCGAGGTCTCGAAGTCTGTGTGTGTGGAATCTGTAGCAGGACGACTTGAAACTCGAGAATGTTTTTAAATCTGAAAAAAAAAAGATCTGGAAGCAGATTCTACAGGATGTCGATGTTTGAAGCTCGACTGCTTGAATGACTGACTCCCAGATTTGACTCATGGATGGTTTATTTTGTGTTTTTTTTGCTTTGTGTCTCTTCTGTCTGTAACTTTGTGATCATGCTGTGGACGGTCTCGGTCAGGTCTCCTCGAAAAAGAGGTTCTCAATCTCAACAGGACAAACCTGGTTAAACTGTGTTTCTGTCATGGTCTGATCTCTGAAACCGATTTCAGGATGGTTTCTGCGATTGTGGTCGACACCTTTTCTCGATAAACATCCAGTATCTCCTCGTCCATCAGCCCCTTGTGATTGGATCCTGTATCTGACAGGAGAGTGAAGTGTTGCTCATGGACTGTCTGCATTTCAATCAGGAGACAGCGCCCTCCTCTGGTCATTTCAAGCAGGGCATAGAGTAACGTTAAGTTTGTCTGGTGTTTGGTTGTGCAAGTTAAAAGTTAGCCAGTGAGCAGATTGATTTAGGGGTTTGTGAGCAAATTTTTACCAAGTACTGTGTGTATCACAGCCTGTTATTGATATATCTTACTATCACTGTACAATTAGAGCTCTATTAATGCAAAAAAACATGCATGATCTGCTCCTACATAACCATGAAGAACACACTACAGTGCATTAATCCGCCGCTGAAAATAGTCCCCAATTGAATAACGTTTGAAGCAGTTTTAGAAAGTTAACGTTTCAGGAATATAACTTGATATGTGTGAGCTGCGAGCTGTTTACATTTTTTCTAGAAGAGTCTTTGACCACCCGGGTAGCCCTGAGTTTAAAAGATTACATTTTCAAGATATGCTTTTAGAGGAGGGACAGAGATACTGCTAGAGAGGAAGGAGAATACTAAGTTTATATAGTGCTGCATGACCTCGACCGTCTGACTTTGGGTCCTTCTACTTGATTTTTTCACTTCCTGGCTGTTTGAAAGTTCAGCCTGTTTTGGAGCGGATCTCTTCGCAGTATTTAGAAATGTTTGAGTCGGTAGAAATGTTTGTGAACATTCAAACTGGGCCCCTCCTCCTGGTCTCATCCCCCCCCCAGAAGCTCACACTCACTGCAGGACGTAGTCTGTATTTTATTTTGAAGGAACAAGCTACTGACTCCATCTTTAATAAATAATATAAACCTGCAATGACGGATGTTTTTGCAGTCCTGGTTTGATGAATTTGTAAGCGAACAGCTGAGCAGCAATCATTTGGAGGAACATTTGTTGAATGCAACGCTGCATTTATGTGGTGTGGGAATTCTCACAAACAGTAGTTTTCCCACTGCGTAAATTCACTCAAACTCCCCCTTACAGTCTGCAAAGAAATTTAAATTGTAAAGCTTAAACTCGACATCACATTATGCAGAAACGTGGTTTACAGAGTTACTGTTGGCAGGATTGTAAAACACATTTATGATTTGATTCATTGCATCAGAGTTCATCTGCTCAAATGTAATTTAATGAGTGTTATCAGGCTGTAAAAGTTAGTCGCCGTGGACTTGAATGACCTCGATTAGTTAGAAAAGTTATTCATTTGCATCAACCTGATAAATGAGTCTGGTAGAAAAAGTGTTATCGTGGCTTTAGGAGCATTCTCTGGTGTCTGCAACAAAATCACAAATGACTAGAAACAGTTATAAACAAGTATAGAGGACATATTATCCTCCTTCTCCACCTTTTCAAACAGTCTCCTGTGGTCTTATGCAGACCACAAACAAAGTACTGGATGAGTTAATTTCACATTTTGTGGGTCGGTACACACTCAGGTTACCAAATTATATGTTCAAAAACACAGTGAAAGTGGATTTTTCATAATATGTCCCCTTTAACTGAACAATTAAACACAACACGTCTTCTTTGTAGCATCCATAATGTTTCAATATTTTAATATAAACCTCTAAAGCAGACATCAGACTTAAAGATGATGTCCAATCTTTTAAAATGTGGCCATCATTGGTGCTTTGAATGCAGAAAAACAAACACTTTTTCTCCCACTTTTAGCTCAGATTTTTGTCGCCACCAAGTTAATGTTATAAATAATGTAATAAAAGTCATGTGCGTTCATTTATGTCCACGTTAGGTACAAAAACAAAACAGAAATCAATCGACAAAGTCAGAAGTCAAAAAGTCAGTGAGGGAGTTTCAGTCAGGCAGGAGAGAGAACAGCTCACACAGGGGCCCTGATTGTTTTTATTATCCACTTCCTGGTTTGAGCCGGGCGGGGAGGATCAGTGTGTGAGTGTGTTTACCAAAGTGTGTGTGTGTGTGTGTGCAGCGTGCGATATAGCTGTGTGTGTGCGAGGGTGTCAGGCTCACATGGGGTGTAATTAAAATCAGGAAGAAACTAAAGAAGAAGAAGAAGAAGACAGCAAGAATAGAGGAGAGGAGTGGAGGAAAGTGTGAAGGAAGGAGGGAAGAAAAGAAGGAGAAGAAAAGAAGGAGGAAGAGGAGAAGAAGAAAGATAGAAGAAGAGGAGTAAAGCTCTGATACTGATACTATTGCTGCTGACAGCTCCACTCCTGCATGGAGACGTGAGGAGGAATGCAGGGGAGGATTATCTCTCCCTCAGGACCCAGCACTAATCTCTACACACAAACACACACGCACACACACACAGACACACACACACACACACACCTTGTGTCTTGTAAAAGACCTTTGGCATGTGGATTATTGACTTTGTAGCTTCAGCAGGGCAGCCATGTTTGAAGTTCTGCAGCACTGGAGGAGTGATATAACTGAACATTTTGAATGCTGAACATGATTTCTCAGGTAGAGTTTTTTTTTTTTTTGGTGTTTTTGGGGAAGTTTGAAACGCCGTTGTTGCTCCACCTGCTGCACGAAAGTCGAATGCAACAGTTCAATGATTAAACTGTGGGTGCAGCACTTTCATTTAACAGAAAAGTGAATAACGTGACCATGTTTTGTACATTTATATGAGAAGACTTTTCTACAATCTGGTTTAAATCGGAGTGCATAAATCAGGTGTTTTAGCTGTGGACCCTCATGTGGGCTTTAACTTGTAGTTCTTTTCTTAAAGGTTCATTATGGTACTCAAACTGTCCTACTTTAGAAGTTAAAAAAAGTATTTAGACTACAGCACGGCCATTTTTAAGTGAATCTCAGTTGTCAAATCTCCCGTGCAGACCTGTTTTTGTCTCGCTTTATAGACGTTCTTAAATTAGCCGTTTTTGTTATGGACCCTGGTGTGAGCCTTGGCCATCAACCGGCCTTCATTATGATTCTTTAAGTGCTATTTTGAGTATTTGATGAGTAGCAGTTCTAGTTGTGGATACTGGATTTTGTTAGTCTTTTGTGTTTATAGGGCGTATTTCATTCCATAACAACTTTATAAATCGACTAACGTGGTGTTGCTTGAGTCCCAAAGTCTAGTCCAGGATCTGACCAGAGGACTTGAAGGAGCGATTTGGAGGCTTATTTTGATTCATGAGAATATCTCAAATTCTGCAAGAGCGACAAAAACGTCCCTGTCGATATAAATCAGGTCATGAAACGGGAAGAATGGAGGGAATTCTTGCGATGGATCCAGACCAGGTGCTAGACCCCGATGTGACGCGACGTGGAGCTGGACTCGCAGACACCCTCGAAGAGCAAACGGAAAGAGAAGAAGAACGTTCGCTACAAGGAGGTGATGGAGATTTCAGCTCCGCCTCCTCCTCCTCTAACTCCTCCCTGCCTTCCTCCTCTTCCTCCTCCATCGTCCCGCTGGTGTTATCGCCTCCTCCGATCCGCGTGGAGGAAGAGAAGGAGGCGCTGACCGGCTGCTCCAAGTCTTTCACCGCACTCAAGATCTTCACCAAGAGGTAAGACTGAAGGAGGAGCAGAGAGATTAGATCACGCTGTCCGGGTTTGTTTTCGATGCACGTCCATCTTTATTTGTGTTGTTTTGAACTTTTGAGAAGGACATTTAATGAAAACAGTCTGGATTACCTCGATCATAACACCGTGAAGTTGTTTTATTCATATCGTCAGTATTTGGAAAAACACATTTTGCTCTCCAGAACAAGGCAATCAAACATATTGAGATATAACATATAACAAGATAGTTTAAATATAATCACCACGATCTTGATTCCAATTTTTAAAGATATCAATACAGATTACATTATAAGACTCTAGAGCGGTGCATCTTCACTGGTCTCACGATTCGATATCACAAACATCAGGATGTGTTGCATCCTTGGCGACTTTTTAAATCATGAAAACAAGCAGTCGGATAAATATAAAAATCTCTTTTTTATTATTTAGAAAGTGCTCAACAAGTTGAAATAAATGTCTTTACACTGTAAACTAAATAAATTGATTATTTAGTTTCCAGCCGCGGACGGGAAATCCACAAGCAACAGCAGAACAGAAAGATCGGTTATGTTCAATCACTGCATGACTGCAGACTCGACCCCGTCCGCATCGTGATGCATCAACCCCCCTATAAAACACGTCGCAGCTTAACATGAGTCAGACCTCATTTGTCCGCCTGCAAAAGCAACAAAACATATCCGAGCGTAAAGTCCAGATTAATTTATGACTTATGAAATAGAAGCTTCTGCCTTTTTTATAAAATGGATCAGTTCATCAGCATCAAAAAAGTCTAGAAAATGTGACAACATCGGACTGAAGCTATTCCAAACTAAGAACAGAAACTGAAGTTCTTCATCCAATCAGATCTCAGAATCTTAGAGTATTGCCGGTGGTGCAGCCTGCACAGATGTAGTAGTGGATATTGACCAGCAGGTGGAGCTATTGGTTGAGAGTCGGCTCACCACCCTGATTAGAGCGAATGTGAACAGATGTGTGAGACTGAGAGCCACAGTCGACTTAGACGGATCACAGCTGCAGGAACAACACGATGCCCTCTTGAGACGCACTGCCACACATGTGCTGTTTTTTTATTCAAACTGTTCACCTGTAAAGCATCACACAAGACAACAAAGGGTTAATCCAATCTTCTACTTATGAATCCTGGATTTTCCCTCATTACTTGATGACAAAGTGCATGCTCCAGATTTATTTGTGTGTTTATGTGCGTAACCTTGCCAGTGGGTCACTAGCCATCACATGGTCAGGGGACATGATTCCCACGGCAACAGGGGCCGCAGTTGTCATGCCAACAGCAACAACGATGACAGCCGTGCCTCCAGCTCGACTGGACGCTGGAGTACGCAAGTGTCAGTGTGTCATTGGAGGGAGGAGAGGGATCATGGGGCAGTGGTTTGTCCTTGGTATGAGAGTGTGAAATGTAATCAGATTGCAGAATTACACGCTTTGATTTTAAAAGCTGTGAAGCTGTGGTGACAACACAACATCTTAGTGTAGCACACGTCTACTTTAAAGTAAAGTTTTAGCATAAACGTAACCCAACATTCAATAAAAGGCAACTAAGAGCAGAAAATTCTAAATTGAGAAGGAGGAAAAATTCAACTGTTGATTATATTTAATAAAACTCAGGAGACTTGAGAATTTAGTACCAAAAATATCTTTGTATTTGGAAATAGGTACCAAGTCAAAACAAACAATATCAATGTAAATAGTTTTAAAAAAACACTCAATAACTTCAAAAAATGATTTAAATAACTCAGACATTAGTTATCTCTTCAAAATAAATATTCTTCAGTTCGTTCAAAATGTTCGATTTAAAGATATTTGAATATTTTTAGAACTGTTTTTTTTTTTTTTTTTTACATATTTTGAGTCTTAATTAGAGTGAGGGGCAAAAAAATTTCTGTTTTCAATGTAAGATTTATTTAGAGACCGGCTGTGACGCTGCAGATAAATATTCACGTCAATGACGCGCAGTAAACGTTGTTTGCGCACTAAAGTGTCTGATAACAAAAGGTGAAATTATTCCTACATTGATGGACATTTTTAACCAGAAACAACTGTCACATTGCTCTCTTCAGAACCACCATAACCCTGAACGCCGTTGACAATAACAGTATTTTTGCAGACCTTGCATTACTCAGGAGTTGCTATCCTTCTTAAGTTTTGATTAATATGTACTTTTGTGTTACTGTGTGTTACACAAATTCTGTTTTTGTGCTGAACGAATCATTTAAAACACCAGAGGTACACTATCTCCATAGCGATAGCTCTGACCTCTCGTCACAAATCGATGCATGTGTGTACTTCAAACGACCTCCAGAGGAATAATTTAAAGATTTTGCCTTCTTCTCAAACAAAAAGGAAAAAAGTACAGAAACATAAATCATGAAAGCGCTGCATGAACAGGTCGTTCCTGTTTGCTGCGTGTGTGAATGGGATGTCTTTGTGATAAAATCCTATTAGTCTATTTTGCATGTTGTTCTTTGTGCTCCAGTTTTGTATAACTCCCAAACCGCACGCTGCAGAAAGAGGACAGAGGTCACTTTTTCTGTGTGATATGTCACACTCACAATCTTTTTACTGTTTCCTCTTTCTGCTCAAGTGTGTGTACTTGTTCTATCTTTGCGGGGACTGTTTTTAACCCTGCAAGTTGGGGACCTTTTTTGCAAAGTAAGGACATTTTGGTAAATCATTTATTCTTCGAATCATTGGTAATATCAGGTAATCATCAGGTAATAATTGAGTTCTGGTGTCATTAAGCTCCTGGAAATGGCTTATGTCAATGACGGGCCTCACTAAGATAGAAAAACAAGCACATGTGTGAATGTGTGGGTGAATATTTATCTGCTTGACAAGGAAGTACACTAAGCTATTTTAGTCCTCTCTCAGGCTCTCTCGCTCTCTTTAAGCCACGCCTACTCTCTCTCTTTCCTTTCACACTCGTGGTGTCTCTCGCCCCTCCCTCTCTCTCTCTCTCTCTCTCTCTCTCTCTCTCTCTCTCTTTTCCCCATTAGCGATCACTGTACTTGAGGGTTTAGCGTGAGCTCGGCAGTTAGATAGATGAGAAAGAGGAGTGGAATCATACATGGATAGCTTTCTCCTCCTTTGTCAGGTTGGCTCCTCACATTTTCTTGCTTTTTGAGAATATTTGTAATTTTAAAAAATCTGCATTTGCTCTATTTATTCTAACAAAATGTTGTGTTTCTTGCGAGCAACTTTAAGAAAACATCAGCAGTCTGTAACTCTGCCAAAGAGAAGTCAGGTTGTTAGGGTTCTGATGCAGTGCTGCTTTCCTTCCGCAACATGTGCAACAGCTGGGGTGGGAGAACTTTTATGACGAATAATAATGCAGAATAGAAATCAAAGTCATGCAATTGCCTCAGTGTTTCCAACAACTTTAGGTTTCATTAGTCATGGTTGAAATTGCTGCAGGAGTGCGAGAAGTTTTGGGGACAGAAAGCCACTTTGTTCAAGTCATGCAAAAGTTCCCTGAAGATTTCTTCCTTAAACACACAGCTTAGCTGAAGAGTTGTTTACATTGTCATGGTGAACCATTCTAGTGCAGAACTCGTGTTCGGTGCTGCAGAGTGCTGAGAGTAAAATAAACCACTAGTGCGTCTAATAACTTCGACAGAGCACTCTAAACAACTTCCCAAGCATCGTTTACAGCAATAGCTGCATCTGCAATCTGCGATCATGAAAACAAGATAATCGAGCTTAAAAGATTACTATGCTGCATGCTATGTTGCATCCATAGGTACTACAACATAAACAGCAATACTGGAAATTGCAAAACATACATGGCAATATTGAGAATCTGCAAAAAAAAATAAAATACCTGCACATAAATATCAGACAAATAGTAATTATCTAAAATATATGACTCAATCTGCAAAACATACATACAGTATTGAATATCTATATGGAAATATCGTACTACAAATATACTGCAACATAATATATCTTTGATTGACTTATTACTGCTCATCATTCTGGATTATTTTGTTTTTTAATCATTAAAATGTCAGGAAGTAAAAACCTTTTTTTTATATATATATTGGTGGAGTAATCACGTAGGTGTAATTTGGATGGTGCAAAGAGACGTTTGTTAATTCTGGGAATAAATCCACAGAAAATCGTCCATGCAGCTCTGAGGAACCTTTATGCTTCATAGCTCTCTCATCTTTTCCGACTCACACGTTTGCTGTTGTGCTTCAGTTTTTCCAGCCTCTCAGTGTTGTTCTTCAGCAGTTTCCAGTGTACACAAGCAGCCCGGCTCCAAAAAGACAAAGTTAGAGCCTTGCTGGTGAACATGTTTGAGTTTTAAGCAGAGACAGGAGACCAGGAATGAGCAAATGGAGAGTAACTGAGTATATCAGCATGTTACTCATGATTTGAAAATGTGTCAGTGTTGTGTTTGCAGCTGGTTAAATTAGGACGCCAAAAAATCTGTTGGTGCAATATCAGAACAAAAAAAAAGGAATTTTAATGGCGGAACTTCTCACCTCCCCAGAGTATAGTTTTTTCCCAGCTTCCAGTTTGTGTGCTGCTACATCTTACTGATGTAGAGGCTGCATGCAAAGATAGACTGAGCATTAGTCTGTTTATTTTTTACTCCTATGTTGAAACAAAAAAACTGTGTGCGTTGTTTACCTTTCAGTGTTCCACTTGCACACTTATTGGACAATAAGGGTGGGGAAAAAATTGATTTATGTAAAAATCGAGATTCTTATCTTGTGAGATTTAAAAATAGATTCATAACTTCCAAAGATCGTTTTTTTTTTTGTTTTTTTTTTGGGCTAATCTGCCACTCCCTGCTTAGTGCTAAGGCGAGCTCTTTACCTCAATAGAAAGACAAATGGAGCCCCAAGAAATTCAGCCGGTCTCACAGATGACTGGAGTAGATTCTGAAGTATGTAGACTTTGAATCATGATTTTGAATCAAAAATCGATTCCGAATCTAATCCTGACCCCAAGAATTGAA